TAAATTTTTTTATTTTTTCAAATAAATGGCTTAACTCTATTTAGTGTGAAATAGAGTTAATGTAGATCACAAACAATCCAAACTAACCTTCTATTTAATTTTTCTACCCATTGCATGACTCAACTTACCCAACCAGTATTTACATTTGTGCTACCTCTCCATGATAGCCATGAGATGTTTTTTTGATTTTCATTGCTTTTAGCAGCTAAGCGATTTGCAATATTTTCTGCTTTTTTAAGCTAATCACAACTTGGGTCTTTTACAACAGTAATGTTCTTTAATTAAGAAAATTTTGTTCATTTATCTCTATAAACCAGCAGTTACCAAACTGTGTGTCAAGGTCCCAACAGGCTTGCTTGACAATTTGCAAGGGGTCACCATTAGCACTTCTGAAAATAATTTGTTTACGCTAGTCAGTGGTGTCTTTTTATCATTTTAAATTTATACCCACAGCTAACTTGCTTATAAGTAATTGTTTCGACAGTTTCTCTTAAACTTGTTTGCTGTTTAATGCTCAGTAATATACATTGAATATGTTTGATTCAGGGAAAGTTTAAAGTTTTTTTTATTTAGTTTAAAATATTTTAACTTTAATTATTGCTTCTGTCACCAACTACCAGATTATTTAACTGCTATGTGGAATTGAAATGATGGCTTACCTTTTAATCTGATGCCAAAACTTTTTCATGTGGTCAAAATATTTGCAAAATGAAGTTAATAAAAGATTTTACTTTTCTAAAAAGTTTTACAATTGAATCTTTAAAAAAAGTCTTTAAAAAAAGTATATATATATATATATATATATATATATATATATATATATATATATATATATATATATATATATATATATATATATATATATATATATATATATATATATATATATTAATAATTAATTATTGTAACAAACTTACATTATTTTCATAGATAAGGATAAAGTTACCCTAAGCAAAAGAATTTGCTGTCAAACTAATTAAGTTTTATTTTTTTAATCGTTAGTTTTCAAATCATGAAAACGATCAAAGAAAAAAAAGAATCTGATTTGTGCTTTTAAATGTTTCAATGTATGAATGCAAATATAACCTTTAATATCTCTATAATTTTTGTTGTTTTGTTTTAAAATAACGCTCGTATTTTTCAAAATTAAAAGTTAATCACTCAAAGAAGTCCTAGTTTTATAAGTCTTAAAGTGGTATCAGTTAAATTTTTATTTCAAATAAAACTTGGTACATTGTTTCAATAAAGTATTTATAATGCCTAGATTACCTATAGTTAAGTTACTGGATATAATAAAATAAACTTTCAACACAAAATGTTATTTTAATAATTAATGATAGCGCGGTAAAAATTAAATTTTTCTGCAGTCTTAAAAATTACCTATCGATTTTTATTTGTTCTACTAAATATTCGATCTTCATTTGAATTCTTTTGTTATTACATTTTTCAAGTCAATAAAAAAATAAGCGAAAGTATCAATCAAAACTTATTGAAATATTTTTAGTTTTAAAAATAATTAAACTCATTTTTAAAATTAAAAATTTTTTAAATAAAAAATAAAAATTAAAAAATAATTGATTTTAAAAATATGATTCTTTTTAAAAATAACAGTTCTATTTTTTCAAAATATAGCTTTCAAAGTTGTAACTTGATTTTTTTTTTTTTTAAAAAAAATAGTACCATTAGCCTTAAAAATTGACACACCCTACTATAATGGCACTTAATAATACTTGTACCTTTTTTTAATGGAAACTTATAAAAAAGTTAAAAACTCTAAGGATTATTCTACATGTTACAATCTTTTTTTTATTACTCCTTGTTTAAGATAAAACTCATTTGATTTGTAACCTTGGTATGAGACAGTTGCACTGCTATTATAGTAATGAAAAGATTTTCCTTTTTAAGCATCATTTTTATTTTAACTCTTGTTTAATGTTCGAAGCATTAAAGTCAAGTATGCTGTTAACTTTCCCTTACTACATTCATAAAAATTTCTTAAGTACTTTCCCTTACTGTAAAACATATTACTAAACACATAAAAGTATTAACTATTTAAATATGCTTAAATTTTTTGTTAATGTTATTAAGGGCAATGTGAATAATTTACTATAGTTTCATAATGTTAAAACTAATTTAAAACATCAGATAATACAAATTCTCTCAATACAGATTTAAATTGCCTTCAGTCAAAAACTTTTGGTGTTTTGGTAAAAGTAATATTCAAAGGATACATACACAGAGCATACTCAATATGCAGCGAAAACCATTTAAAAAATGAGATAAATTTTTCAATTTAAGTATTAGTTAATTTAAGTGTTTACTGAAAATGGGTACGATGAAAAATGGTTAAAGATATTTCTTATCAGGTTCGAAAAAAACGTTTAGCAAATAAAAATGAAATTCTATCAAACTCTAAAAACCTTCCTACAATCTCTTTACCATGGATACCAATAACATCTCCCAGACTTAGAAGAATATTTAGAAAAGCTGGTTACAGAACTGATTTTAAATCGAATTCTAACCTAAAAACGCTATTAACGTCTAAAAATAAATCAAAATTACCACGCAACAGCACCCCTAGGAACCTTATTAATTAAGCGCAAATGCTCCAAAGTGTATGTCGGTGAAACAAAACATCAAATACAAACAAGGGTTCAACAACACCAAAAATTTTTGACTGAAGGCAAGTTAAACCAGTCTGCATTAGCTTTGCAAAGTAAATTGCAATGAGGACATTGAGTGAGATAAAGAAGAAACACTTAAAGTTGAGGATTAAAAATTTGAAAAAAAAGTTCGTGAAACCTTGGAGATACAAAAACATCAATGTTCTCCCATGTACGGTGGTATGAATTTGGAAAATGAACAATATGTAAAAACAGATTTTTGGACTTCATTTTTTTTATACTTAAGTAAAAGAAGCTATTATAAAGGTGAAGTCAAAGTTTAAAACTTTTGTTGTTATTTAACTGTCATAATTTTTTTAATTATATTATATGCTGTTGCCTATAATCCGACAAAAATTTCAAATAAATTATTTAGTATTGAGAGAATTCGCATTATCTGATGTTTTAAATTTGTTTATATATTTATACTCTCGTACAAGATGTCAACATTTAAATCATATATATATATATATATATATATATATATATATATATATATATATATATATATATATATATATATATATATAGAGAGAGAGAGAGAGAGAGAGAGAGAGAGAGAGAGAGAGAGAGAGAGAGAGAGAGAGAGAGAGAGAGAGAGAGAGAGAAATTATTATTGCTCTGTTCTATAAGAACATTTAGCACTCTATTTGTAGAATACACTTAAATATAATAAGCATTATAGCAATCATCTGATTCTTCACTTTTTGGTTTCTTTCAAAGTTTCTCAACGTTCTATTCTAATAGATGTTTTTAATAACTTGTGGTTATAAAAATAGGTGTTTCATTTCAACTCAGAACAGTTTATCAGTATGATTCTTTATTTTAGTTCATGATATAGGTCTTTCTTTTTTTACTACCTAGAATAGTTAATTACTTGTTAAAGTTTATCAAATCATTTCTGAAATTTATTTTTAAAAACAAAAAACAACCACGCTACACCACAAAGTTGTGGTGTAGTTTTAGAGTGCTCGCTTCATAAGTGAGAAGTGCTGAGTTCGATCACCGACACTTTCCTGGTAGTACTGTGCTTAACTTGTTTTTTTGTGCCGCAACCTTGTTCATCAAGGTTTGTGTTTTAGAGTTATAGAGATAAGAGAGGTTTTTAACCATAATAAAGTAGCCTCCTTGATTGTAGCCCTACAAAATGCGAATATTATAAAAGAAAGCTATTAGCAATAGTGTAACATTCAAAACTCAGCATTCTATTAATTTTACCTTTATTTTATAGAATTATCAGAAGATCACTACTTTTTAAACTATTTCGCTTTCACTATCCATTTCGGATTTTTTTTGCAATAAAGGTACATATCAGATGTCCTCCTCATATGTCCCAATCTCTTTTTCACGATCTTTTTCTAATCTGCATGCACACGTATTATATATATATATATATATATATATATATATATATATATATATATATATATATATATATATATATATATATATATATATATATTATATATATAATTAAATTAAATTTAATAAAAAAAATTTAACGAATATGGAAAAAGAAAAAGTTGTTTCTAAATAAAATACTAAATATAAACATTTTGGTTAATTCTATAAAAGCCAGACTTAAATATGTTGAAATTCACTGTGCAACTTGCATAAACTCATAAAAACTTGAACTGCAAAATTATTGCATATGTAGGATACATTTTTACTTGTGAAAATATGCCTTAGAGTAAAATTGTCAGATAAAGGTTTTCTAAGATTGAGAGCAGCCATTTTAAAATGAATGTACCGCTCCTCATCTAGTTTGTTTTTCATATTTAACAAATACTGTTAACTAACCGGCAGTTGAATTGATTTTAAAGCATGTTACTACAGAGGTAGCCAGAACATTATTTCACTTATAAAAAGTCAATTTGTTGCAAAAAAATTATAACAAATTAAAATCTGGCTACAGCTATAGTAACATAGTCCAACTTATTAATCTTTACAGACACACAAAAGCAATGATCCAAACATTTTTCTTTGGATCATTGTTTTTTGATATTACATAATAGTTTTCAAAAAAATTTTGAAAATTATAATGTAATATAAAGATTAAAATCTGGTTTTTTTTACCCCTGAAAATCCCGCACAAAAAAAGCAAATTAAAAAAAAATTGAAATAAACATTAAAACTAACTTATTTCGGTTAAAAATATTTAAAATTGAAAAAATATTTCAGAACAGTAAGTACAATCCTACTTCCGCTTTGCGACGCATAGTGGCTAAAATACGTGTAAATGTCAAAACTAATAAAATTTTATTATTTTGCTATATACTTCTACCAATATCTAGAACTCAATTTTTATAGTCACTGAAGACGTGTTTTTTGTTATAGGCCATAGATCCGGCTTTAGTACGCAAATCTCCTGGTGGTTATACATATCTAGGCGTTTACAATGGTGGGACTGTAGAAAAAAAAATGGAACATCTGGTAAACATTTTTTTAACCTGAGCTGAGTGTTGCAGATATTGTTTTATATATTTTTTACATTTATACTTTTGAAAATAATAATGTTATATGTTTCACTTTAACTATAATTATGGTATACATAAGGCATGCTTCGCTGGTGGTATGTTTGCTTTGGGTTCTTTAGAGGCTCCTAATGAATCAAAAAGTCGTTACATGGAACTAGGCGTTGAGATTGCTCGCACATGTAGAGAATCATACCGAATCACTTGTGAGTTGACTGTTTAATTATAAATTTTTAAATAATATTGTGAAATACAAAAAGTTTACAGTGATTTGGGATTTGCATCTAATTTAGCAACTGGATTGGGTCCGGAGTCGTTTCGATTCGAAGGACCACACGAAGCAAAAGCTATTCGTGGGAACGAAAAGTATTATATTCTTCGACCAGAGACTGTGGAAACATACTTTGTGATGTGGAGACTTACGCACGAGCAAAAGTATAGAGACTGGGCATGGGATGTTGTAGAGGTATTAACATTGTTCTATTGCATCTGGGTAATAAATTTTTGGCCTTTTTTTAAATTAAAAATATTTTTAGGCTTTAGAAAAGCATTGTCGTATTGGGGTCGGTTACAGTGGAATTCGAAATGTGGATAGTACACCCGTTAATCATGATGATGTGCAGCAAAGTTTTTTTTTGGCAGAAACTCTTAAATACTTATATCTGATATTTTCTGACGATCAGTTAATAAGTTTGGATGAATGGGTTTTAAATACTGAAGCCCATCCTTTACCCATAGAAAAGAAAGGAAATAGTGCCTAATAAGAATTAGCGGATTGCATTTTTGATTGTATATATTTAATGTCATTTTATCACGTGGTTTCTTTTTGCATTTTTAAAATTTATAGATTCTACCCCGTTGGCAAGTCGAATAAAGACGCTAAAAAGAAAATAAGCAAATGGTATTTGTTTAGAAAAAATATTTCGAATAAGAAATCTCTAATGAAAATAGCCTTGTTGATAGTATAACGTATCAATTAATTGGTTTGTAATATGGCTAGATCCGCCATCCCACTTTTGCCTAAGTGAGTCGACCAGGCTAACTCTTTTAACAGGTGTTGTGCTCTGACGTGACAATTTGTTCACACTAACTCTTGACTACGGTGTTTATATAATCTTATAATATATAATGTATACAAAGTTAAAGAGCTAGGTTTGGGATTTCAATTTAAAAAACTCATTTTTTTAAAAATATTAGAAATACTGAAGGAATGCTTGTTGCATTAAATGTGTTAATAATTGTAATATGTAAATGAGGCCCCATTTAAAAAATTAATTGCTAATGTGTTGACTAAAAAACTTTTTGTTATGTAACTTCAACTTAAATTTGGTTTATTAATTTAAAGTTAACTGAAATTTGTGGATAGATAGTTTGCCAGATAAACCTATTTTTTAAACATGTCAATAAATCATTTTCTTGTTGTTTTTTTTGTTTGTTTTTTTTTGCATTAATTTGTTGATCAAATTATGTTATGATTAAAACCGTATACCTGAACGTGTGTTAAAAAAACTCAATATTTATAATTTTTTAACATTACATTTCTGGGTAAGTATTTTTAGAATTTTTTATGTAATAAAACCCTGATGTGCTATTTATTTCTATTCAACTCTATTTATAATTTTGTAAAATTTATGTTTGATTGCACGTTTTAATATAGCTTGGTTTTTCTTTTAAAAATATATTTCTGAGCTTTTCTTAAAAAGTATGATTTGCCAAAAAAAATATTTAAATCTTTCACTCTTATCCCGAAGACTGAGGGGGTTACTGAAGTTCAGGAGACCCTTTTTGTTTTCAATTTGTTGTTGCGACCCTCACTAAACTCTTCACTATCCGTGATTTAAAAAAAAAAAAATTATGCGTATATATACTCGAAATTTCTCGCTTACAAAGAAAGCGTTCTTCTACAAACCTTACTTTGAACGTTTGATTACTTTGGGTTACTTTTAAAATTTTTGAGATATTTTTACTTGCCCTTCTTTCACTGTTGACAATATTTGAAATTTAACAAAATAAATATAGGGACTATGGTTGAGTCTTACATAATTCAAGTTTAAAATAATATTTAGATAAAAGGATTTTTTATAATATTTTTATAATTGGTCATTCAAAATTACCCCACAAATGGGATCACTTTAAATACGTATTAAGTAAAAGCAAGACCTATTCAAAAACGCATTTATTATTTTTTATTTTTTTGTTGTTTTTTTAAATTTAGTAAAAACTACAGTCTAGTTTCACATGAGTATACTAAAATAATATAACAAACACTCACTTGTTTTTTTGTTTTAATGGGTATGATTTAAAAGGACTAGCATAAAAAGGACTAGCATAAAAAGAGTCTCATTTGCATCAAGTTTACTTACAGACAATGCAATTGAAACATCTTTGTCAAAAAATCCTCATAAGAAATAATTTTTTCAAGGTCAAAAGTAATTTATTTCCCCCTTTGAGTCTCCTTTTTCTTTGACATCAACACGACACAATCGTTAAAGTACATTTACTGCTTTGGGTACTAAAATTACAGATACCATCTGGCAAACGATTGATAATAATACTTACATCTAATGGGTAAATACTAGGGTTGTTCGCCGAAAAACAAAACTTGCGAAAATTTCGCATCTTTATCTACCGTAATAGAATTGTTATTACGGAAGTTGCACATGCGAAAATGCACATTCCGTAACGCGCTATACGAAAATATAAATAAATAAAATTCCGTAATAAAGCATTGCGAAAGAAAACTTGCGAAACAAATCATTTCGTAAGAATACTTACGAAATAGTTCCTTACGGAAAAAGCATTCCGGAATGTGTAGTTACGAAAAAGACGCAAAAGATTTTATGTTACGATATATTTAAGATATTAAGTGTTAACAGTTTAAATAATAAATAAAAAAAATTAAAAAAAAATGTTGTCAAATGATTCTTTAAATGTTTATACAAATATACCTAATATATATACATATATATATATATATATATATATATATATATATATATATATATATATATATATATATATATATTAGGTATATTTGTATAAACATTTGAAGAATCATTTGACAATATATATATATATATATATATATATATATATATATATATATATATATATATATATATATATATATATATATTATATTTATATATATATTCATATATATATATATATATATATATATATATATATATATATATATATATATATATATATACATTAACGGGATTTTACTGTATATATATATATATATATATATATATATATATATATATATATATATATATATATATATATATATATATATAAATATATACTTATATATACAGTAAAATCCCGTTAAGTTGGACTTTCAATGAATAGATAAACAGTATGCCTTTCTTTTTAAAAAGTATAAAGAGGATGTGTGATAAACAATTAAATACTTTATTATAAAGAACGAGAGATCTCTCTAAAGGTAAATGATATCAGAAAGCGTAAAAAGAGAAGAAATATATGTGAAACAGCGGGATGTGAACCTGGGTCTACGCGGCCAAATGTCTTAACTGAATGAGCTATACGTTCATTCAACTAAGAGAATAGTAATATTTATTTAATATATAATTTGAAACTATATAAAACAGAATTTACAGAAAGAGATACGTATGCAAATAGGATTCTATATATCAGGAAAATGAATAGTAATGTGAACCTTTAGATGCTTATAATTAATATCTGGACTCAAAAACTAGTTACTTTTAATGGAACACAATAGGCTGTAGGAGCCTCAGGGAAATTATATTCAGAAATGGTTATATTTAAATGAATTATATTATTTGAAAAAGTTGTTTTACGTACATTTCATCATAATTTAAGTAGAACTTAGTAAAGCAAGGGAAACGTGTTGAATTAAGCACAATGAACTCAATCTTAAAAGAATAACTAACAGAAGAGAGGTTGTCACTATTGTGAAGGCGACGAAAGATCTGTAATATAGAACATGGAGGTCAAAAAATGCTATCTTAAGTAAAAAGAGTTTGATGAACAAAAGTTACAATGGCTGCGGAATGCGAACCCGGATCTCTGCGGCGAATTATCACGTATCTAACTGATTGAACTATACAATCTTAAACTCAAATTTATATCTTATTAAAATTAAAAAACAATATTTTCTATGATCTATACTTCGAAAAGCGTATTCAAACAGGACTCTACATACCTTTAAAATCTGCTAGAATTTTAGTAACGTGCACACTTTTAGAAATTATTGAAATAGGTATATTTTATCAGAAATATGCTTAAGCTAAAGCATATTTTTGAGCCTCTTTTTACTATTTGCTTAAGCATATTCGAACCTGTTTCAAAAATTTCATATGCTTTAAAAAAAAAAACATGTATATTCCTACCCATCATTCTTATTTTTAATATACGTAATGAGTTCAAAAAACATCGTTGTTTATATTTATTATGGCACGTTTCGTAAGTTTATTTCCGTTAAGAATTCTTTCGTATGTTGTGATCCGAAATACTTTCGTTTCGAAAGAAATTTTATTTTTTATCAATATTTCTAAAAATAAACCGTAAAAATTTAATAAGTTATGTTACTGAAAATAAAAATTCATTATAAACATTTTGGGATTTAAAGATGTTAATTTTTACAATTAAAATCAGTCTGGCAAACAAATTTTCTTCATAGACTTCAAAACGTCGTTTGGCGAAAATGTTTGTTTCGCAAGTGCGACTTCCGAAACCGCTACTTTCGTATGTTGCAAAATAGTTTTGTTTCGTATGTCAACTTGCGAAATGCTAAATTTCGGAAGTGGCTTTTGCGAAATGAACATCGGCGATTTTAAATGTTTTGTAACATTCGGTACGAAAAAATGTAATTCCGTGTTCTCAATATCCTTACGAAAGAATGTTGTTTTTCCGGAATTGCACGAAATCCTCCGGTTAACAACCCTAGTAAATACCAGATTTTTTTCAAAACTACTAAGCGGCTGATTACCTTTTGCTCTGACGATTATAATCTGTATAAAAGTAAAGTTAGGTTAGTTATTAGTTAAGTTTTTTATTTTTTGTAATTTTCTGTACCTTAAAAAACATTCGATAGGACAACAACTCTATTTGAAAAAAAGTTTTGTCGTTTTTCACAATTTCGTAAAAGTTGGCATTCTAGTTTTTAGTTATGTCCTCTCAAAATATAACTGGCTTTACCGTTTTAAGGTTTTGCGGGACAAAAAAACTGACAATATTAAATTAACATGTGATTTTAAATTGCTTGATAAGGTTTGTTCTTTTACATATTATAGAACATTTTACAGGACAGGTGTTTAATAGATGATATTGTTTTTGTTGGTCGATGCTGGAGGAGTAATGTCAGACTTTAAATGTGGCGACCATATGAAAAAATGTAAACAAGATACAGAGTGCGCCATAAATAAAAACTGCCATTGCTAATGTTTTTTTGAGTTGCTCTTGCATTCTATTCGCTATTGATGCGGCTGACTCTACATGTGATCTAACGTTAAGATCATTGGAGACCATCACACCGAGGTCTCGTTTGACTGCAGTCTTTTCGAGTGGATAATGCATGCCGTCAAAGTTAGCCATTGAGTATTCACGCGTCGACTTGTTACATGTACGACCAGCATGCGTTACCTTGCATTTCTCAATATTGAAATGCATAAGTCAAATATGTGACCATTCCACTGCTCTGTCAATGTCAGCTTGAAGAGTGATGCTGTTCGACTTGTTTTTAATTATGCCAGTTAGTTTACTATCGTCAGCATACAGCATACATATATTTCATATGATGAGTGATGCTGTTTGGCATGTTGTTAATGAAGATTACTAAG